GTTGACCACTTTCGAGAACAGAAGGGACGAACACTTTTGTTATTATTGGTTAAATAACTGAACTCTATGTACTGCAGCCTTATCTACGGCACATGTGGCAGGGGACTTACTTATCGGTGTTAGCCTGGATCATAGGAAACTCAATTCAGGATAGCACATGCAGTTTGTTAAAGTTTGGCGAAAGGATATTTTTTCTTCGCCTGTTTTAAAGCGTTCCAAGGTTAATAACATCCGACACGAGTCCATCTATCCCTCCCCTATATTATCAGATTTGTAAGGTGGCAAGTCAACAGGTGGCCGAAATAAAGGTTAGAAAATTACTGAGGACGTCCAGATATCCGACATATTTTCCGGCTCGGAGAGTGCCAGGCAAGCAAAACAGCACAGCCACCATAAGAAAATTAAGCAACTACTGAAACAGGCTGGTCGCGGATGTTAACAGAGTGACGGCTACCAGTTGGCTATGAGATGTGGATGTTTAGAGCGTGTGTTATATAGCTTCACAACATCGATGGTCTAAGAATCGAGGATGTTTTGAAGGTATGTATGACGGACTATATGCCAGGAGCTTGCTCCACAGTTCAGAATGAAGGAAAATGAAAAGATCTTCAAAAGGCATTTCTCCAGATAAATTAAACGGAACACAAGGCCCACGCTTTACCAAATGCGTCGGAGCCATAAATATTCAAACCCCTGTTTCACAAAGCAAAAATGCATGGTAGTGCGGACGACGCCGCACGCAGGGCCCGGTAAATAAGGGCTGCATATTCTCTAAGAGAGTCTGGCATGCTCACAAATACTGTGAGGCAAACTTGGGGCTAGAATTTAGAATGAGTTTTACGAACTTCTTTAAGATGGGTATTAAAGGTAATTTGCTGTGAAATGAGTGGCAAATTAAAATGCCGATTCGCGGGCATTAGCTGCATTGTTGGGAAAACTCAAACCAAATGGATCCAAAGACCCAGAACTCTTACTCTGTGAAGATTAAAATTTAACAGTCTGTTAAGAACAAGCGTCCCAGATGGAATCTGGAATCGGTACAAGCATTTTGGAAAGGACCGAAACGTTCCAATTTTAAGGACCAGAGGGATAAAGAATCCAAATCAGTTCGAATGCTGATGGGCATAAACTGGGTCGCCAACAGGAAACAGTAAAGGGAATGATTGGATTACCGAGTCTGTGACAGCAAGAACTGCGGAGAACAGGGGAACTACCCTGGAAAACTACGCCGGTCGTTAGATAGTGTAGTGTTGACAGATCCCCGGTTTCAGCAGAGAAAGCAACCAGCGCATAAATCTGTCGTCAACACCTGTGGATCAAATTTGCTAAGACTGCCACCGTGGGGTCTTGGTCGAATGTCATACTAATACTAAGGTAGATATGGGTGACACTCCGGCATCGTAAGCAGAATAACTTCGATTAAGTAAAGGTGTCTGGCAAGCAGTAACTGACCGCCGTGCTACAAACCCATTGTAATATCCAGGCAGCTAAGGATCTGACAGGTTGATTGCGGCTATCAGATTATACGCAGTTTCTAGCACGTGGACAATAGGAGAAGACAGATGAGGGCAGCATATGATACATCGGAGCCGATGGGAGCCGGCTTTATGTAAAAACGGGTTAGCAAGCATCGTGAATTAAGCAGCCGTGTAATCAATAATGGCGCAATCAGCAGAAGCAGAAAATAGTCAGTGTAGCAGCAAGGACTCCTGGGAACAACAACAAGTAAGCACAAAATGATGTACAAACGCAAATATACGGGTAGTCTGTCGGGTTGAGTTGGTCGTATACAGGTAACGGCGCGAAAATCAATGAATGCAGTGAGGAGGTAAGGGACTGCTTCTGGTTGATGGCGCGATGATGCGGCTCGTGTCTTGTGACAAATCAGATTTTGCGTTGTGGGTTTTTTAAAATAATCTTATCAAAGACGATCAGGCAGGTGTGGTATATAGATAATGCAAAAACACCCTTCTGGGTGTCACGTTGGTGCAGTTTCAGCGCGCTTGCCCACTAGACGGGAAGCTCTGGTTTCGAAACTCAGTCGGTCCGTTTTTTCGTCAGAATGGACGCTTGGAAATAGGTGCAGTTGAGACCAAATTGTAGGCAATAACGGACAAGCAACAAATAGTGACATCAGTTAGTAAAGAATAAGCAGACCTTAAGTAGGAGAGAAACAGAAGGAAAACAAACAGCAAAGAAACAAACCGGATTTATAATAAACAGGGTGTAAGTCACGTTACTCGTGACTAGTCAGAACACGGATAAAATTACCGCTGTTCACCACTGATTCACAAAGGGGATCAAAATCCACATTGTATGTTGTTGATGGCCTTTGTGGTGAGCAGGTAATTCATGACAGAAATTTTAACAATGGCCTCTAGGTTACGTGACAGGACGCAAATGTGACAGATACCATGATTGTCCGAGCGGTTCGTAGGCCTGACTTATAATGTGGGACGATGGCGGATCGCTTACATTAACTTGAGACCCTGTCAGTTGTAAGGGAGATGAAGAGAATAGGAGATTGATGATGTCAGCTTCAAGAACAAGCAAGGAAATGACACCAGGGCCTGGGAAATGGTTCACCACTGGATGGAGTGAGGATGTCAAGTCAGTCTGAGTAACTGAGAGCATGCAGAGTGTGGGGTTTATTTCGTCGAAGAATTTCCTAATCACGGGACCACTTGGTGAGTAAAACGACTTAATGCAGAGGGAACATAGCAACTGACGAAGGTGTTTTGAGGGATTCCACGATACCATCATGGTCAAAAAGAAGCTTCACATTAGCAGCCACAATAGATAGAATCGCACAGGACTTAGAGAAGAAAGATCAGTGGAAGAGGTGAGCTAGCATATGGGTTTGAATAGACTATACTGCACTGGTGGACCCCTCGCGCTTTCAAGAGCTACTGTGCCAGTGTTAAACTCAGTTGTACTTTTATTATTATGAATGGCTCCGCGGAAGAGCCAACGACACTCCCTGTGTACGGAACGGAAACGACCAGCAGCTTTCAGGAAGGTTGAGAACACCAGAAATAAATCTGTTCGGGTAAGGTGGAGATCAGACCCACGAAAGATGCGCGGGCGGTTTATGGTGCGAGATATTGGAGTTTTGAAGTGGCATTTACAAACACCGGAGGATGAGTGGTTTGAAAGTTCATCGTGCAGAAACCCAATGTGCTCACCAGCGGTGGATCGACAACAGCGGAAACATGCAATTCGGTTCCTGAGCGTATGATGCGGCCGCCGCCACAGCATTCAGGGGATCGGAACGGAAAACGGTGTATCTCGGAGCAAAGATAAGGGCTTCAGGTGTGGTAGTTGAGAGCCACGTTTCAGTGATGCATTTGAAGGCTGGACAATCCACGGAAGTAGTAGCGTGCATGCAATACCATTCAGAAAAAGAGAGCTGGTTTCGAAAGAATAGACAAATTGGTAGCGCGATCCGAGGAGGCATGTAGGGTGGCTAGAAGAGTGTTGGTAAATATGCGGAGATCTAGATAGAACGGATTAAGGACAGGGATATCAGGGTTTCTGAAATTGATGGGACGGGTAAAACAAGCTTTGGTTGTTTGGAAATAAGGTGCTGGGACGTAGTTTGCTGCATACGAAGAAAATATTGAGGTGGCGTTCAGGATTGTAGGAGTCCACGGATGATGAGTTACAGCCTGTGTGGAGAAATCCTTCACAAAGTCAACATTACTAGCAGCAGAGAGTTGTTCCATATGTGGCAGCTGAACAGAAGTATCGGGCCAGAAGCCATATAAGACGGATGGACCGGCGGAGTGTCTAAGTAAGGCGACATGGGGGGATATGGCGTAGCAGGCACAGGGCAGAAGGGTCCGGCTTGTGCCTTGCAGAGCCTACTTCTACTCGGAATTTTCTATCTTATACGAGCGCCCCATTCTTGCACTATCTCTCTGAAGCTCATGAAGCTCGAGTTTCTGGAGCAACGGAACTTTCGGGACTGGTTAGATTACTTTTGAGAAGCCGAAAAATACGGCGCCCTCTGTCCTAATCTTGGGTTATTCTGTAAATATATTCGAGCATGTCCGTCAAGCAAGAAAGCTCCGGAAAGAATTTGTGTTGCGCTGGGATATTAAGTTATTAGTCTTGCTTCAGAATGCGTTTTATCACCTTGCATGATATGCTGCTGCCGGCCCACAAGTGGTCATCATGTTTCAGACTGGCATGACAAGCTCTCCCTCCAAAGGGAAAGGGGCCTTCTTGTGCTGACCAACAAACCTCAGGCAGAAATGTCTTGCTACTTTAAGCAACGTTTCCTTCGGAGCACTTGAGTGAGCCTTTTCTCTTCCCAAAGTGCTGAACCTGTTTTTTGTGCAAAATCAATTCGGCTGGAGGCTGTACTTAGTTACTACGTGCAACGATCACATTTGGTAAGGCGTTTACGGGATCATATGTCTGAATGAGAGAACGGGCTTGACGTTCACCCCCAAGATTTTCGCAAGATTCACGCCGAATATCAGTTTTTTGCCCTTAAGTTAGCGATCCACATCAAAGGCAGGGTTCAAATCTAGAGTAGTTAGAGTTGGAACACATGAAAACCCCAGCGCACGAAATTTCATGCCTCCATGCGCTTGCAGCAGAGCAGCGGCGAGAGTTGCGCTGTTATTTAGTGTCTCCGCAACCCAGAAAGAACTGCACAGAAACCCCTGGTACATTTTGTACTCCCGGATTTTAAGGGGACACAGAAATCATTGTCCGTGTTTTATGGGACCGGTTCAACCCAACTGACAGACCCAGGGTGGACACAAATCAAGTCTTCCCCTGCACTCACGGAGTTTGGCCTGAACCAACAGAACAAACATTAGACTCGAGCTTCCTTCTCATGAAACTCTAGTCAAACGGCTGGAAATAGATAACTTTTGAACTGAAACTGGAATTGTTTGCATCGCTTCGTTTAACTGCATGACACATGCAGTTTTTATGAGGAACGAAAACAAAAACAGTCATGTAAAAGCGCTGAATAAATCAAATAAATGTGCACGAGAAAATCGACTGTGAAGTGCATAAAAACCCTTCTGATTGTATTCAACTTGCTTTTTGTACTTTTGGGCTTGATACTTGTCGGCTTTTCATGCCGGGTGTTGCTTGCACCTACTCCTCTGTTTGGGCCAGACAATCCGGAAGTTGTTTATTTGGGAGCCTGTACTGCACTGGCCTTTGGCCTAATACTAGCGGCTTTGGCATTCGTGGGTTGTATCGGCGCTGCTTTGGACAATAGATGCCTGCTTATTACGGTAAGACTCCCCCGCTTTCTTAAATATTTTTTCAGTTTTTCACAGTGCTTTGCGGATTATTTATGGGCGGGTTGGTTGCCGGGGTGCTTGTGGCGGTTTTTAAGGATGAGGTAAGTAATCCTATATTACTCTATACATGCTGTTCCATACAAGACGTAGAAGTTAGCAACAGCCCCGAAACTGGTGACATGCAGTAGAAACGACATACTTATTTCGTTTCTACTGCACACTGTCACTTCCGGATCTACTGCAAAACCAAAGTAGATGTGAGGTGCATATATTATTAGACAGTGAAAATTGAACATATCGGCTGGATTAAGACGGGGCACCCAGGTTCTTTACAAATGCGAGAATGATGAAAGTTTTAGCCCAGCGTCAGCAGATATGTAGTTGATAATCAAAATCTAAAGCTCGACTCATTAGAAAGCATATCCGCAGGGATGCAAGTTAACTTGGATGCCATGTGCAGCTGAAAATGGTCTTTGGGATGATGGACAAAACCGACTGCGGAAGACAATTAAAAATGCAAGCATTCCTGGGGTCACTCCGCTGTCCTTCGTGAATTAGTGAGGTGAAAGACATAAGTGAACGGTGCCTATCACAAGGAGAATGCTACCCATAAAATGATCAGTATAATCCAAATGGGATGCGCATGGCCAGGTGTTCTGTTTCTGGTGATAAATCGAAAAGAACAGTCACATGAGGCACTTCACGCAATACAACGTAGCATGTGGCTGCACTCACATTGCAGTACCAATAAAAATCAACAAGCGAACTGCTGTTTGACCTCAGAGATAATCGAAACACTTAAGCCGGTTTGTTTAAATTATTGAAGCCTGTAGTGGTTAACGGCCCTATGGAGTCTCTAGTGAACTGAACAAATTACTGGTGTAAGCCAGATACAAAGTCACAAAGAGAAAAATACAAGTAAATCTTGACTCACAGTTCAAAAATAGGAGATTCCGTAGTTCCGTATTCCGTGGAACCACCACACCAAGAATAGTTCTATCTTCCTGGTATCCCAGATCTCCGGTGATCGAAATATTATTCCACAAGCGTGAATATATTAGTCCAGCGTTTGTAGCTGAAATGTTTGTTCACGTTTAGTGTTAGCAGCGGTCAAATATAGCCAACCGGCGGTCACAACAACAGACACTCAGCAAAAGTCTCAAAGTCACGTTGGAGCCAACGCGCGGGCGGTAGCG